AGGAGAATCACTTGAGCCCAGGAGTTGGAGGTTGCTGTGAGCTGTGATGTCACAGCACTCCACCCAGGGCGACAGCTTGAGGCTCTGTATCAAAAAAAAAATTTTTTTTTTTTTTTTTATACAGGGGTTTCACTCTTGCTCAGGCTGTTCTTGAAGTGATCTTCCCACTTTGGCTTTACAGAGTGCTAGGATTAAAGGCATCTCCCATTGTCCCCAGCCCAAAGTTTTTAATTTTGATTTAAGTGAGTTTATCCATTTTGTTGTTGTCACTTCCAAATCTAAGGTCATAAAGATTTACCCCTTTATATTCATGTAAGAATCTTAGCACTGACGTTTAGGTATTTGCTTCATGTTAATTTTTTTTCTTGTTTTGCAGTTTTGTCTGGGGCCAGGCTTGAACAAGGGCCCAGACAAAACTGGGGCCTTGCCCTATTCCTTGAGCCACAGGCACTTCCCCAGTTAATTTTTGTATGTATGTGAAGTAGGGGTTCTGACTTCATTCTTTGGCATATGACTATCTGCACACTTTTTATTATTTTTTAATGATTATTATTATTATTTTTTGAGACAGAGTCTTATTATGTCGCCCTTGGTAGACTACCTCACAATAACCTCTAACTCTTGGGCTTAAGCGATTCTCTTGCCTTAGCCTCCCAAGTAGCTGGGACTACAGGCTCCTGCCACAATGCTTGGCTATTTTTTGGTTGCAGTTGTCATTGTTGTTTAGCTGGCCTGGGCTGGGTTTGAACCCCCTAGCCTTGATGCATGTGGCCAGTGTTGTAACCACTGTGTTACAGGTGCCAAGCTTGCATGCTTTTTAAAAATAAACTTCTTAAGAATGGGGATTGGTAAGTTCTCACCTAATGTGTACAATGTAATGGTATACAGCACACCCTCTGGATGAAGGGCTCAACTACCATTTGAACTTTACCTTAGAAAGGCAAACAATATACCCTAATCATTTATACCAGGAGTCCTCAAACTTTTTAAACAGGGGGCCAGTTCACTGTCCCTCAGACCGTTGGAGGGCTGGACTGCAGGCCCCAGGATGAGTTGGCTGCTAAGCAGGACAGGCAGCAGCGGCAAAAATACCCGGCGGACCAGATAAATGTCCTAGGTGGCCCACAGGCTGTAGTTTAGGACGCCTGGTTTATACCCTTACTATTAATCTGAAATTAAAAAAATAAAACCTTTTTATTTTGTAATAATTTTAAATTTACAGAAAATTGCTAAGATAATAGAGAATTTTCATGGATTCTTCACTCACGTTTCCCTAATGTTATCATCTTACATACCATGAATATTTGTAAAATTAAGAAACTAACATTGGCACAGTACTATAATTGCATTATAGGCTTTATTTGGATTCTGTTTTTCACTAACAGTGTTTTACTGTGAGAGGATCCAGCTAAGCACACCACACTGCATGTAGTGTGCATACTTTTTGACTAAATTTAACTCTTGATTGTTTCTTTGGGTTACAGCTCAAAAGCCTTTCTGACAACAGTACTCAGATCCCTTTGCACTGAACTAGTGTGGAATCAGAAATTGCCCTAATGGGGTGAAAGTGGATTATATGGGTGGTGCAAGGGGGAGAAAAAAATACTTTGGATTGTGAAAAGGTTGGAGAAGATGGCAAAGTGGTGGAGAATAGACATGGTAACTGATGTTTAGCCAACTTGTTTGTCTTCATTTATTACTTCCCTTCTAGGTGCAGTGTATAAAACCAGAATGTAGAAAATGGAGGCAGCTTACCAAGGAAATCCAGCTTACTCCACAGATAGCAAAGACATACCGATGCGGTATGAAACCAAATACTGCTGTTAAGGTACGAGCACTCTTGGTTTTCCCTTTCAGGTAGTGGATAACGTTAATGTAGTTGTCAGTAAATAGGAATGGTATGTTTTTTCATTTATTGTATTATCCAGTATGTCTGGGTTGTATTGCTGTACATATAGCAGAACTGCAACTACAGTGGCTTTACCAACTAAGGATTTTACTTTCCTGTCATCATAAGCAGGCTGTCGAGAACTGGGTCTCCTAGTTTCCAGTCCTTTCACCTTTAGTTTATTTTGCATCCTTAAGGCCATGAGGTGGTTGCTGTACCACCAGCCATTGTGTCCAGATTCTAAGTGGGAATGAAGGAAAGGGCCAGAAGGGTGCCAGCTGAGTTTGCATATCCCTCTTTTATTCAGGACACAAGAGCTTTACTGGAAGCTCCAACAGTAGATTTCTACTTAGATCTCCTTAGCCAGAACAGAATCATGAAGCTACTTTGAATTACAGTGAGAACAAAGGAGGAAACTATTTTATAACTGAGCATGTTGCAACACCAAGTAATATTAGGATCCTGGTAGTAGGGAAGAAGGGATGAATAGGTAGGTTTGGCGTTTAGGAATCATGGTTGGTTTAATGTACCTTTTTTTAAATTTGGCAATTACTTAATGTTTAAAAATATAGTTGTTCTACTGTGTTAAATGTATTAGTCTCCACAAATGTTGCTCATACAGTACATTACAGAATATCAGAAATCATTGTCATCTCGGGAGCAAAATATTTTGCTTTTAAAAAGTGAGATGTAATTCACATGCCATAAAATTCACCCTTTTAAAGTATGCAATTTAGTGGTTGAGCATACTTAATAAAAACATCTGAAATGCTCCAAAATCTGAAACTTTTTGAGTGCCAGTGTGGTGCTCAGAGGAAACGCTCATTGGAGCATTTCAGGTTTTCAGATTAGGGATACTGAACAGGTAAGAATATTTTAAATATTCAACATCTGAAATCTAAAAACACTGCTGGTCTCCAGCATTTTTCATAAGGGAAACTCAACCTGTAAGGGAAACCAGAAGTTTGGGATTTAAAATATAAGAAGTATTTTTTTTTTTTTTTTTTTGAGACAGAGCCTCAAGCTGTCCCCCTGGGCAGAGTGCTATGGCACTATAGCTCACAGCAACCTCCAACTCCTGGGCTCAAGCGAGTCTCCTGCCTCCGCCCCCCAAGCAGCCGGGACCACAGGCGCCCGCCACAACGCCCGGCCATCTTTTGGTTGCAGCCGTCATTGTTGTTTGGCAGGTCCGGGCTGGGGACTCGAACCCGCCACCCTAGGTGTACGTGGCTGGCGCCTTAGCCGGCCGAGCTATAGGCGCCGAGCCAAAATATAATAAAGCAATGCATAATTATTGTAAAAAAAAAAAAAAGGTAGATTTTGTAAAGTGAAATGCCGAAAAAAGGTATGAATATTTACGAGGTTTTTTTTGTTTGTTTGTTTTAAATTTTACATAAATATGGCTCGGCGCCCATAGCACAGTGGTTATGGTGCCAGCCACATGCACTGAGGCTGGCGGGTTGGAACCTAGCCCGGGTCTGCTAAAACAACAGTGACAACTGCAACAAAAAATAGCTGGGCATTATAGTGGTCACCTGTAGTCCCAGCTAGTTGGGAGGCTGAGGCAAGAGAATTGCTTAAGCCCAAGAGTTGGAGATTGCTATGAGCTGTGACGCCACAGCACTCTACTATGAAGGCAACGTAGTGAGACTCTGTCTCAAAAAAATTTTTTATTTTACATAAATATGACATGAATATAATCTTAGGATTTAAAAAAGTAAATTGTATGTATAAATACGAACACATATGACATACAGAGTTTAAAATTCCTCCTTAAATGCTTTAATAGGTTAGCATACTTTATAGGTAATGTGCACTTCAGCCTTGGTGACTAAGACTCTTTCTTAAAAAATATATACATATATTTTTCTGTACATTTATTGAGTTGTTCATTACCATTTGTTGAGAAGACTATTCCCAATGAATTCTTAACATCATTATTAAAAAAAGCTGTTGACCATATCTGTACATCTGTTTCTGTTCATTGATCTTTATCTTTATTCAGTGTTATGCTGTCATGATTATTATATTTTTATAGTAAGTTTTAAAATCGGGTAGCGTAATTTCTTCCTTGTTTTTCTTTTTTAAGATTGTTTTGACTATTCTAGGCCTTTTATGCTACCATATTAGTTTTATCAGCATGTCAGAATATCTACTACAAATGCCTCTTGGATTTTTATTGGAGTGCATTGAATCTATAGATCATTTGGAGAAGAAGTGACATCTTGGCATTTTTCAAACTTCTGAGGGGTTGGCAAATGATGGCTTATGTATCATATCTGGACTATACCTGTTTCTATAAATTTTTATTAGAACAACAACCATGTTCATTTATGTAGTGTCTGTGGCTGTTTTCATGCTGCAGTGACAGTTGTTGAGATAGAGCCTAAAGTATTTATTGTCTGATTCTTTATAGAAAATGTTTCCTGACCCCGTGCTGGAAATGGGCATAGTATATCTCTACATCTTTTCAAGGTTCTTTAATTTCTCCTAACAGTGCTTTTGAAGTTTTCACTGAGGATGTCTTTTTTGCCTTTTGTTAATTTCTAGATTTATTTTCTATAATTGTTTTTAAGTTGCTTATCATTGTAATTATATAGAAAGACAAATGATTTTTGTATATTGACCTTATACCAAGGGACTTTGTTGACTTCACTTATTTTCATAAATCTTTTTGTAGATTCTTTCGGGTTGTCGAGGTCATACAATCACAGTTGGCTTCCACCTTCTCTTTTTGTCTTTGTCTTGCCTTATTACATTGGTCAAGACCATCACTGACAGCGTGTTCTCTATAGAAGTGGTAGGAACAGACATCCTTGCCTTGTTCGTGACTTTAGGAGGAACGCATTCAGTATCTATCATTCTGTACAGTGTTGGCTGTAGCTTTTCACAGATGCCTTTTATGAGATTGGACCAGTTTCTTCTCCTATTTGCTGAGAACTTTTTATTACAAATGAATATTGGATTTTGTCTAATCCTTTTGCTGAATATTATTATCATGAGATTTTTCTCCTTTAATCTGTTAATTTGGTGAATTATACCAGTTTTGGAATGTTGAAGCAATGTTGCATTCCTGGGGTTGAGGACTCCCACTTGTCCTTAGAGTGTTGTCCTTTTTATATATTGCCAGATTTAATTATGTTTCTGTTAAAGATTTTTGCATCTGTGTTCATGATGGATACTTTGTCACTTTCCTTTCTTTGTAATATCCCTGTCCATAACTGCTTTCAGAGTTATGCTGGCTTCATAAAACAATGGAAAAGTATATCTTCCTTTTGATTTTAGGGTTTGTTGTATAAGGTTGATATTATTTCTTTTTTAGTTGAGTTGAATTGGTTAGAAATCAGATTCCATTTCATTAATATATATGTGGCCATTTGTGTGGTTTTTGACTTCTGTCCATTTTGAACCATTGTGTTTTTCAAGGAATTGGTTATTTTCATCTATGTTGTCAAAATGTTAAAGTTGTTTGCACTTTCCCTCATTTTCCTTTAAGTGTCTATGGGCTCTGTGTTGATATTCCTTTTATTCCTTGATGTTGGTAATTTGGGAGTGAGGGATAGAAGCCCAGATCTAAGCCCAGGACTGTTTCTGGAATTGGTAAGAACTGTTCTAAAGTCTTTCACTTCAGCCCTTTTCTGATTCTCAAGCACAACTTTTGAGAGTAGAAGGCCTATCTAAGGGGTAGAAAAGAAAAAAATGGGAGGGGCTATCCCCAGGGGAGGGTATGTGGGTCCTTTTCAGGCTGAACCACTGCCCTGACAGGTATCTGAGTAATAAAGACACCGTGGGCTTTTGAGGTAGAGCACAGCATGTCCAGCTGGCAGGAACAGTGCCTAGGTTGCACTGACCTTAACCTAGCACCTGTGCCCCTGATTACTTCTCAATGCAAAGGAGACTTCAGTAGCTTTCATTATAATGTTAAAGGAGAGTTCAGCCAAGCAGTCAAAAAAACAACACAACAATTTTAATAGAGTCTAGCTTTTGAGCCATTTTCACTTAGCCTATTTATGTGATGATTTTTAGTGTCAAACAACTATTTTAAAAGATTTTGGATAACTTCTTTTTTTATGACTCCATGTTTATGAAATTTTATTTATTTATTTTATTTCTATTTTTTCCTTTTTTTTATTAAATCATAACTTTGTACATAGATGCATTTATGGGGTTCAGGGTACTGCTTCAGTACACAATGCGAAATGCTTACATTGAACTAAGTAACACATCCATCACAGTTATACTCATTTCTTAATAGTTCTGAAATGTATCATTGCCTTATGCACATTAGGTGAGGACCCCCAAAATACCCTCTGTCCTCTCATATCCACCCTCCCTTCCCTTCTACTTTCTGGACTATAGTTATGTTTTGCCCTTCATATGAGTGTGTAGGTGATTATATATTGATTTCATAGTACTATTGAGTACATTGGATACTTTTTTTTTACCATTCTTGAGATACTTTACTAAGAAGAATATGTTCCAGCTACACCCAGGAAAACATAAAAGATGGGAAGTCTCCATCTTTTTTATGGCTGCATAGTATTCCATGGTGTACATATACCACAATTTGTTAATCCATTCATGGGTCAATGAGCACTTGGGCTGTTTCCACATCTTGGCAATTATGAATTGGGCTGCAGTAAACATTCTGGTGCAAATGTCTTTGTTGTAAAATAATTTTTGATCATCTAGATATATACCTAGTAGAGGAATTATAGGATCGAACGGTAGGTCTACTTTTAGTTCCTTCAGTGTTCTCCAAACTTCTTTCCAAAAAGGTTGTATTAGCTTGCACTCCCACCAGCAGTGTAGAAGGGTTCTCTTCTCTCTGCATCCACGCCAACATCTGTAGTTTTGGGATTTTGTGATGTGGGCTAATCTTACTGGAGTTAGATGATATCTCAAAGTGGTTTTGATTTGCATTTCTCTGATTAAGGATA